TCCAGCTAAAGTCTTAACTCACATTACCTACAATAGTATTTAAATTCTGGCTAAAGAGTCTTAACTCACATTACTTACAACAGTATTTAAATTCCAGCTAAAGTCTTAACTCACATTACCTACAATAGTATTTAAATTCTAGCTAAAGAGTCTTAACTCACATTACCTACAATAGTATTTAAATTCTAGCTGAAGAGCTATAAAAGAAAGTTAAAATGTCATGCAATTCATGAACAAGTTGTATATGATTAAATAACAATATATATAACCAAGATGTATTTTACCGTGACAAGCTTGCGAGTTCAGAACATAAACCAGAGTTTTTGGCAAAGCTCCCGAAGCTCCTCGAGTTTGTTTACACAGCTCCATTTGCTCCCTGATGAGGTTCTAAAATAGACCACATTCACTATTCAAATATTTGGTACTATCAAAGATATTGATAACATGTTGTTCTGTACTATTTCCTTCTTTATAGTATTTTTTAAAATGTGCCCTCCAAAAAATGTTTGTTTTTAAAAAGTTTGTTTGTTAAGAATAAAACTAAGGCTAACACAGAATCAATGTTATTTGTTAAATAACTATTTAAAGATTTTAGACTCAACTCCTGCATACAACCATATCTGATTAAGCATATATATATATGGAGCATGTTACAATATACTGCAGGTGTTTTCTAGAAAAGTTCCTAATTTTAACTGTCAAAGATTACTTCAAAGTAATGCTCCCTTGGTTAATTACACACACCTATACAGATAAAAGCTTCAAAAAATACTGTAAACACTGCCTCTCTAGTGTAATATTTCCTAAGCATAATTATGACCAAATACACTGAAAATATATTCATTTTGAAAACAGTTAAGGTGTTCTTTATAGCATACTAGCTGATGCATTCATTTAGTTCATGGGAAAGACATAGGGGGACATAACCCGTATACATGTCTTTCAGCATCAGTTTGTCTTCTTTGCTTTGTTACTTAAAGGAACTTCATTTGACCGTGTTAATTATTTCCCCCCCTGTTTTTATCAAACTTTCTTGATTTTGTTGTGCCATCTATCTAATTTTAATTTCTATTTCTAAGTGACGTTTTCTTTCTTGCACTGTTTCTGAACTATTTTTAAGTTTTATTCAGAATTTTAATCTACAACCTATTTCATGAATGGTGTCAGAAGTGAAAAGAAAAGCTGACATGGTTTGATACTGTAAACATGTCATCTTTTAACCAATATCTCAAATTCCTGATTTAATCTATAATGGTATTGAAAGAGCTTGCTGTAAATATGATCATTATAAAAAAATAACAACATAAAATCCAACTTGACTGTGATTTCAATACGAGACTTCCACATAAGAGTCATCACTTTGAGATCCAATGATAACAAATATTAATATATAATATCATAGTATTTATGTTTTTCCAAATCCTGAAAGAGCCTCCTCTAATCATGATCAGTTATCAAATAAAAAAAAAAGATAAAATATCCCAACTGTACTGGTATTTGTTTGTTTGTTTGTAATTAAGCACAAAGCTATACAATGGGCTATCTGTGCTCTGCTCACCATGGGTATCGAAACCT